TGTAATTGTTTGGAATACAGATGTATACAGACCAGGTCATATTAGGTAGCCCATGTTGACTTTGAACTTGTGGTGTTTGTGCCTCAGTTGCCCAAATGTTGGGGTTACAGGTGTGAGTCACCAGGCCTAGCTTGGAATACAGATTTCAATAAAGAGAATAAGAAAAGTCAAAATCTACTATTTGGTAGAAAAACACACAATAACCTTAAATTTAAAAAGAGAACATAAAACTTCACAGGAAGCAAAATTCTAATTAAAGATATTTATATATAAACTACATAAATATTAAATTATAAAATTATATTAATATTAAAATTATATAAATATTATGTATGATGATAAATATAATGCTCTATGGTTGCAGGTAGAAAGGAGCAGGAGGAGACCTGCCATTTGCAAGCACTGAACTAAGTCTAGAGAAGTTAAGTAACTCACCCAAGGCCACACACTCAGCAAGAGGGACCCAGGATTTGAACCCAGGGGACCTGAGTGCAAATCCCATGCTTTCATCACTGTGTTATGTTGCTTCTTAGGCACTTTTGTACTCTTTACCATGACCCTGCAAGATAGGTTTTATTCTGTACTTTATAGTCACTCTGCACATGTGGACTACAGTTTCACCATCTTGAAAATGGGTCCAGACGAACATTCTCGTGGATGGCCATTGTATCATGTGAGAAGATTTGAGTGACAATAGTTTACTGAGGGCTTCCAAAGGGTGAGGCACACAAAGGGTCTGCTCCACTGGTTCCTCTCAGCACCCAGTTCTCTGGGGTGAAATCGGAGGCACATGAGATACACTGGGCAGCCCACAGAGGCTCAGGAGATGGGCATCTTCCTAGACATATTCAGGATGCTTTCTAGTTTTCAATCCAGACAAACAACCACACACGAAAACAAAAACAAACCAATAAAGCTGCTCCCAACACAACCATATTGTGTAACTTCTTTTTGTCTCACAGATTAAAAATCACTGCAACAGCATTCTTAATGAACCTTGAAATTCAAGTTTAGTTTCAAGAATTGCTTTAAGCCTAGGAAGTTAGGAAAAAGGGAGGAAATGAGTGTTCTTGGGTAGCTTGAAGGGTCATCATGGTTGACAATGGAGCCGGGTCTGAAGTCTGGGCACAGGGCAAGTTTCTAATGTGGGCAGACTTCACAAACACTGGCAGATTGTTCCTGACCAGTGGTATGACCTGAGCAGACACTAACTAAGCGTCTGTGTCCATATCATATGGACAAAGCGAGGGACGGTAGCACCACCTTTCTTGCAGTGTCATTGTACAGACATACCATTACCCTATAAGCTGTCCAATGACACTGGAGTTCCTTCACACTCCAGAAGACTCTGCATCATTTTTGTAGCCTGTGAAGGCCTGGGTAAACACTTGCTACATTTCTAGAAGAAAGAGGAGACCCTAGGAGGAGGAGTGCTATTGGCGCATAGGGCCACATGCAACAGCAGGAGTCTGGGACCCTAGTTGGGGCCAAGCTAATGGCTTCTGTGTGACTACGAGGCATATGATGTCATGTCCCTCTCTGGGTTCCAGTTTCCTCATCTGCACCATGTAGGGGAGGAGAAGGAAGGAGCTGAAGTTGATTTCTCTCGTGTCTCTTCTAGTCCTGTTTCTCAACATTAAGCTCTGTTAATTTCTCCTCCAAGTCCCTGTGTCATTTCAGCCACTCAGTGGGACTCTCACACTATCTCCCACCACCCTGAATTATTTATCTGGGATTACACTGCATCCCCTGTCATGGCTGACATAAAAGCACTTATTTCCTTCTGCTTCCATTAGATTTAGTTATTTGGATAACACTTTCTTCCAAATAACTGTGGATTTCCTAAGGGAGAAAGCATGGGCTATGCTCACTGGTCCTTAGATCCCCTCAGAAGGGAGTGTGGTGTCTCATCAACAGCAAGAGCTGAGCACATGTGTGCTTGTCTGAAGTGAAAATAACCCATTGCTAAAGAAGGCCTACACTTGCGCTCCTTGCACAGTGGGCTTTGTTTCTCCTGTCACCAAACTGTCTCTGCTTGGGCAAGGTTGAGTGATAGAAGGTAAGTGAGGATAAGTTCTGACCCTGCTGGCCTGTGGCTTATTTTAACCTTGCCACCTTGCAAAACAGGGCCTTATGGACTCTCCCAAAAGATGGAGGGCCCCAAAGTGAGACACTGCCTCACTTTACAGCTGAGAACCAGATGTCAAAGACTGGACAGTCTGCCCTCCTGAGATGATCTATTTTCAATCATGATGACCCATGGGAGGTCTTCCTGGCTGAAGCCACAGCTCAGTTCCCACTGAACCACATGACAATATCAGCTGAATGCCTGGCTGTTCTTGTATCACAGCATAACCTTCGGTATTGAAGTTACTTCCTCCTCCCTACCTCGATTATAAACTTTGCAGGGCAGAAGCTGTCAGGTGCATCTCTGAAGGCGTGGTAGCCAGGACAGGGCCTGATGCAGTATAGATGCTCAGTAAACGTGCGGAGAAAGCAAATGCACTCATAGTAAAGTGCTTTCGTGTAGCTTTGTCACAAAGTACGTACAAACTCATTTTGCTTCATAACATGCTCCAAAAAATGTACAAGGTACATTCTTCCTCAACTGGGGATTTTCTCGGTGTTCTTTTCTATTTCCTGCTGGCTTATTGCTCAGAACAGCTGGAGGAGGCTCCATTTCCCTAGGGTCTGGATTATTTCCTATAACAAGAAACTGTCCCATTAAAGCAGTGGGGCATTGGGCTACTGTGGGCCCAGCTCTGTAAAAACTGGTTATTTCCAGTGCTGGAAGGCTGGCTCTGAAGGATGGGAACCAAGGCTTAGACTCTGGGGCTGCATTTCGTGGGGAGGAATGAATGAACCCTGGTCTGTAATCTGTTGTTGAATGTGTGTTGAGGGTACCATGCATTCTCTGAACATCCCAAAGATGTTCAGTTTTTTGCGCCCAGATGTCCCATAGCAGTGTGAAAGATCCTGGACTCTAGAGAAGGGAATGACTTCATGGTGTGGCTCTTTTCCCCTTCCTTCTGCTCTATGAATGTTATTGTTTGCCACTGGCCTTGCACCCACAAAGACCAAGTATAGTGGGATGGTGAAGGCACCATGAACAGTGAACATGATCACTTTTTTAAAGGATCTATTTATTTTTATTTTATGTGTATGAAGGTTTGCCTGCATGTATACTATGTGCATGCCTGGTGCCCACGAAGGCTAGAAGAGTGTATCAGATCCCCTGGAACTGGAGTTACAGATGGTTGTGAACCACCATGTGGGTACTGGGAACTGAACTTGGGTCCTCAGGAAGAACAGCAAGTGCTCTTAACTACTGACCCATCTCTCCAGCACCATGATCCCTCTTCATCTTATCTGAAGATGGGGATACTCAGTGCCCTTTCCTGTTGTGCTCTGCCTTTCCTTGTGTATCTGTTGTGAGTGGAAAGCCCTTTTCCTTCCAGAAAATTCCCTCCTGTTCTAGTATCAACGGCCTGAAAAATGGTTTCTACCTCCACAGCAACCAGCATAGAACCCTGTAACAGCAGTTAGGTACAGTTCAGTAACACTCAGCCTTGGGGTTTTCTCCCTCATTTGAGTTTCTGGAGGGTGGACAGGACTAATGTATCTCAACACCTGGGGTAAGATGTGGTCCTCTAATAAAACTCTGAATGTTCAAGCAGCCCAAGGATTACTGAGCTCCCCAGATTTCAGCTTGATTAAGGGACATGTAGACACTGAGATTTCAGAAGGACATATACCTAGCATCTCTGCTCAGTGATCAAGGCCCAACACCATGGCACCTTGTTGATAGTTACTCCCTTAGGCTGGGGTCATTTGCATGGCTGCCTTCTGTTTTTAGACAGTGGATAGAGGACTGCAGGGCAGCTCAGGCAAAGACCAGTGGAGTAAGTAGCTATTCTAGGCTTTTAGCATCAACTCAGGCAAATGAACCAGAATGACTATAATATTATACACTTGGATTTTTTATTTTTACAGAGCTTTGAGATTTTAAAAACATCTTAGGTAGGACATTTCTAAAAGTTAGGATGCTGGGTTTCTAGTTTGCTGATTTCTAACTCTGTGTCATACAAAAGTGAGTGGCATGAATGTTTTGCTTGCCAATATTAGAAAGGAAGGGTTAACTGTTCTGATTCTTTTTGTATCTGTCTTTTTTATTCTCCCAGTAACCCCTTGAGACTTGGAAGAATCAGATATCTTCCAGGTAGGAATGGAGTTTATATTATGGTTGTCTTTATGCAAATTTAGTCAATAGACAAATGAAAGCTAATTCTATAAATGAACTTGAATAGCTTTCATGGTCCAACTGCCTCATTTTATAATTAGGGAGAGTAAGACCCAGAGATATTAAGTAGCTTGCTTATGGATGCACAGGGAAATCAAAGTCAGAGTTGGAACACAGTTTTTCACTCTCAGCTTACAAATATTCCATAAGACTTGCTCCTCTTTCCTTGGGATTTGACTGCCCAGCACTAGAGGAAAATGCAAGCAAAGTCAGATTTTATTACAAACCCATGGGTATGAGAGGGTATGAGGGCAAAATGTCGCTGGGTGTACTTGAGAAGGATTACATCCAGAGTCAGAAAAGAGACCTAGGCCAAAGCTACGTCAATGTTGTCCCCTAGAGGAGAATGCCTACAGTTTGTGAGATACAGAATAGGCTGGCATCTTCTTAACCGACCTCAGCGAGTGGAAGCTCAGACCCTGGCCAGGCAACTATCCCACCATGGAGTTAATTGAAGACACTTCTCCACACCTGACCACTGGGTGCTAATTCATTTCATTTACATTCATTAAAATTAATGAATCTAAATGCAACAACTAGAGATAGCGACTAGGCTTGAGGCCACCTGTGCAGTTTTTGTTTGTGCCCTAAGTCTCCCTCACCATGGACAGAGGGTATTGGTGCCCTGTTAACCCAGCAATGCCCACCCTTCCCTCCTAGCTCTGGAGCTGCCCAGGGCCCATGGGTACCAGAGCCCTACCTCCATCATTGTCTTTGCTGTCTCCACAGGCAGTTTCCATGGATGTGTCGCAGCCAGTTCCTCTCCAGCCCAGCTGGCAGACACAGTGCCACCCATTCAGGTCCAAGGTACATCTGCCATTACCATTGCACAAGCCAGGACAGCCCTCTGCAAGACAAAGGACAGAGTCAAGGGCTGGTGCCCCACAACTGCTACCTCCACACCCACGCCCTACCTGAAGCCTACGGGACACTTTCACATCCATCAGCACACAGATCCCACAGCATCCCAGGAGGCAGGTACCATGAGGAATCACTACTTTATAGAGAAGGCAACAGAGACTCAGAGAGGCAAAGAGACTTGCTAAGGGCAAGGTCAGAAGGGCAGGGAGAGGTCTGGAGCTGATATCTCCACCTACATTCCCCCATTTCACAGGTGATCAGGATTCTGTAGCTGTGGTCAGTGGATCAGGTCTGCCAGAATATGACTAGGGGAGCCTTCTACCCATCCCTGCCCCTTGCTCCTTTGCTCCTATATTCTCTGGTGGATGTCTGAACAAAGGTTAACATCTCTCTCTCTCTTTACTCTTCCTGTCCCTTTACTTCTAGACATTGCTCTAAAGGGCTGTACCCTTTCTCCAACTCTTGTGACTAAGTCAATCTTAAGTGGACCTTAGGTTTTCCATTTATTTGGTCCTATTTCCCCCCAGATAACTGTCTTCACTCTAAAGAAGGGGGGTCAGGCCTTTTTCTTACGACCATGCTTATACTATACTTTGAAGCATGCTCTGTACCCAGAGGAACTCTGAGGACTGTTGCAAGATAGACCAACTCCTGATGTTCTCAGGTGCAAAGGCAGGTACAGCAGGCTACCCTGCTTGTGGTCTGCTCAACTGTGTATCTCTCTGTCACTTGTTAAACATCTTCTTTGGGCTAGCACTAGAGGCAGAGAGATGGAGCAGGCAGCCCACCAAAGGACACAGATTTGTATAAGTAACAACAACAAAAACGACCTGCAAAGTGCTCAGTGGGAGCCCCCAAACATGGTGGGAACCTGCCACAGCTGTGGCCATCTGAGAGGGTGTGGATGACTTGATCATGAAGGGTGGGGTCATACACAGATCCTATTGCTTTTGCTCTGACCCCATGACAGGGTAGAGATGTTTTTATTTCTTTTTCAAACCACCATACAAGTAGATTTACAGGTTTTCAAAAATTATTGCTTTTTCAAACCCCACAGAGTTTGAGGCTCAGAAATCTATGTTTGATGGGCCAGTCAGCAAGATAGCTCTGAAGATAAAAGTACTTGCTCTGTCAGTCGTCAGACTTGACCTGAGTCTAGTCCCTGGAACCTAGAGTGGAGGGAAAGAACCAACTCCTGAAAGTTGTTCTTTGACTTCCACAGCTGTAGCATGGTATACACAGGTGCATTCATGCACACGGGCACACACATGGGCATTCGGGAACACACACACACACACACACACGCTTAAATAAAAGAAGAAATCTCTGATCTAGGTCTGAGAAGACATTGTTTCACAGTTTGCTTTAGCTTCTATTCTGCCACTTAGTTTCCACTCAAGTCCTCATTTTGACCAAAGGGCCATCCCTCTCCTCGATTGGCCTCTTTCCCCTTGCTGCTCCTTCCTGGTCTCTGGGGAAGGTTTGGGTGGGAGGAACTTTTTCAGCTAGAAAGTTTAGCTTGTTTTACTATGATGAGCAGCAAACACCTATAAATACATCTGTAAACTAAATGCTCTGCCATGAAATAAGGGAAAATGGACTCTTCTTTGATCTTGTTTTTCTTTTTCATTTTCTTTTTTTTTTTTTTTGAGACAGGGTCTCATGTGGCCCTTGCTGACCTCAAACTTACTATGCAACTGAGGATGATCTTGAACTTTTAATCTTCCTGTCTCTACCTCCCAAGTGCTTGGATTACAGGTGTGCACCACCATGTTGGGTTTACATAGTGATAGTGATTAATCCCTGGACTTCGCACATGTTATATGAGCATTCTATCACCTGAGCTACATAACCAGCCTTTGGCTTGTTATTATTTTTTAAAAAATATTTTATTTATTTACTTTAATTTAATTATATATATATGAGTGTATTGCCTGCATACATGTAAGTGCACCCATATTGTGCAATGCCTGTGGAGTTTAGAAGAGGGTGTTGGATGCCATGGAACTGGAGTTATGGATAGCTGTTAGCTACCATATAGGTACTGGGAATTGAACCTGGGTCCTCTGAAGAGCAGCCACTGTGCTTAACTGCTGAGCCATCTCTCTAGCCCTTGACTTGTTATTCTTAAATGGGACAACAAATGTTAAAGTGGCTGTCTAGTGCCAGACCTGGTCCAAGGTAGACACTAATGGAGCAGCTGGTCAATCAGAATCTGAGACTTTAGTGTTTCAAAGACTTTAAAAAGTATTAAGTAAGGACAGCTGGGGCTACAGGGAGACCCTGCTTCAAAAAGACTGAAAAAAAAAAGTATTAAGTATCATTACAATTCAAGAACTTTTAGTAGTTATAACTCTTACTCCAGTGGAAAAGGAATGTTCATTTCCACTTGAGATGGTCAGAGCTGTGGCCGACCATTCAAGATATCTACTGTCCTTTCCATTCAAAGGAAAAAGCATTGGTTGTGTAATCCCCAGTGGGGATTACTCTAGAAGTTTAGGGTCAATTTAGAATATGTGGTCTTTGTATAACTAAAACTACTAGGAAAGATGAGAAGCCACCAGCATGGCCACCCCCAAAACAGATCAAGAAAGCTGTAAAAGTGGGTGCCAGGATTAGTGGGTAACATGCAGGTAACTACTCTTGCCTTCTGACTCAGTGACCAGCATCAGTCACCCATAATGATCTTAGTGATCAGAGATCACTGTTTTCCAATTAGTCTCACTTAAATTTTTGTTTACCCAGGTGGGAAGCACTTTCAGTTAAACCTCATTCTTAGTGGGAATTAAGTCTTGAAGGAAGAAGGGTACAGTATTTAAAAATGGTAGGAGGCTGTTTTGTTTTGTTGTAAGATATAGCATCTTAGAAAATGTAGAACGAATCCTTTGTCTAAGAGCACAAGCTTGGGAGCCATACCAAAGGTTGACTTTGACTCAGTGGGACCTAGGCATGTTACTAATTGCTGGAGTCCCCGTCTTCTTATAATCTAGGGGTAAAGGAGGGCTCAATAGGTTAAGGTGTGTGTGTTGTACAAGCCTGTCAGACAGCTAGAGCACAGTATCAGAATCTCTATATACCCACACCTTCTGTTTGGGGCAGAGGACAGATGCTATCCTAAGTCGCTACCATAACCACAGGTAGGGCTCACAGAAAGGCAAAATAGAAAACTGTGATCAAAATTTACAAAACTGTTGTGTGAAGGCTCAGAGAGAAAGAGTTTAGGCTTGTGAGCCACAGGGAATTTGTTACAATTACTCAGCTCTGCTACTGTTGCTTGAAAGCAGGCATATGCGATTTGTAAATCATGAGCACAACTGTTCCAGTAGAACTTTATTTACAAAATAGGTGATGGCGCAGATGTGGTCTCTGGGCTATATAACATTCTGGTTCAGGCCAGTAATGACAACGGCAGCTGCTGGGGACTCAGGGTCTACTATAGCTGGCCACTATGCTAAGTACTTTGCATAGATTATTCCTTAAAGAAGTAACTTTTGGGGCTGGGGAGATGGCTCAGTGGGTAAAACACTTGCAAACACATGCAAATGTTTGGACCTGAGTTTGGAAACCTAGAACCTTCATAAAGCCAGACATGGTAATGCCAATGGTCCTATACTGAGATAGGAGTTAGAGACCAAAGAATCTCTAGAAACTTGAGGGCCAGTTAGCCTGGTGTGTGGAGCAGTGAGCAAGAGACTCTGTTCAACAAGGTGGAAGGTGAGGGCCAACACCCAAGCCTGTCCTCTGACCTCTTCATATGGCATGCATGTTCCTCTCTCTTTCTCTCTCTCTCTCTCTCTCTCTCTCTCTCTCTCTCTCTCTCAGATTTTAGAAAATAACCTTTTTGTTAACACTTTCAGATCCTGGTTTTCAGGGAAATTCTAATTTAACAGCATTAGTCTTCAATTTTAAATTGCAAAACAAAATGTGTTTTGTAGTGCTGGGGACTTAGAAGCTGGACAAACTTTAGCCAACTCCTAACACCATCACTGTATTTCCTCCTCATATGAAGACTAGCAAATTAACTTTGAGTTTTAGTTTTCTCATCTGCAAAATGGTGACCATATCCACTTGAAAGAGGCATTCAGAGGATTAAATGAGATATTAGCAGCTGTTCAACCCAGAACGCACAGTAGCACAGTTAGCGTTGCAAACAGGCACTTTTAGCAGTCCTTGTTATTAGATTAATTTTAACTTTGTATAATTTCACTGAGAACTAAAAAAACTAGAAACTAACCCTTTGCTGGTTCAAACTGCGCCACAGTTTCAGTCCCGTAAGTACAAGCTTTTCTGAAGAGAAGAGACATCCAGTGACACCGTCATGAGGTCACCCTATAGTGCAGTTACTATGGCTTCCCTAGCATACTGTCCTTCCTCCGATGACAGTGATCTCAATTACTGAATAACTTTGCAATTAGTTTAATAGTCCTCCTCCCTCCACTGGAATGCCGATCCAGAAGGGGGGCCTTTGTTGGGCCTTTGCACAACAGGCACTCAGTATGTACTTGCTGAAATGAATCAATAGAGGGAGAAGAAAAAGGTTCTGCTTCTTGCTACCCCACTGATGGGAGCTGAGAACCTCCCTGCCTCGGTCTCAGTTTCCTGATATATAAAACAAATGATTCATTAAATCCTTCTAGCACAACTGACTCAATAAAGAAGGTCAAGAGATCAGAATTTGACACACACACACACACACACACACACACACACATACACACACATATGTGTATTTATATATATGGAAACAAGGTCTTGCTGTGTAGTCTAGGCTACATAATCCTGCCTCAGTCTTCCAAGTGCTGGGATTACAAATTTGTGCCACGCACATCTGTTGGGTCTTAAATCTTAATAATTCTCACAGTGAGCTCTGTGAAATAATAGGCATATGAGGTCTTCAAAAAGAAGCTTCTGGGGCTGGGGTGGCTCAATTGGTAGAGTGTTTATCTAGCATGCACGAGGCCCTGAGTTCTATCCTCAGTACTATATGAACAGGGCATGATGGCACATGCCTGTAATCCCAGCACTTGGGAGATAGAGGCATGAGGATCAGGAATTCAAAGTCATCCTCTGCTACACTGGGAGTCTGAGGCCAGTCTGGGCTGGCCACTCTGTCTTAAAACACAACACAAAACAAAACAACAGAAATAAAATAAAAATAAAAACAAAAAAGAAACTTCAGGCATCAAATAAGTTTGGAAAACATTTCAATCTATATTGTTTTATTTTCTTTTTTAAAATTTATTTTATGTGTATGAGTGTATTGCCTGTGTGTACGTTAAGTGCACCTGTGCTGTGCAGTGCCTGTGAAGGACAGAAGAGGGTGTTGGATCCCTTGGAACTGGAGTTATGGACGGTTGTTAGCTGCCATGTGGGTGCTGGTATTCAAACCCCAGTTTTCTGTAAGAGCAGCCAGTGCTCTTAACTGCTGAGCCATCACTCCAGCCCCTCAATCTGTATTCTTATCTTAGATGGTTGATCTAAATGTTAATATCCTTATTAAATAAAACTGCTTATCTGATTATTGGAGCTTTTTCCAGTGTGACCTTGGAACTCCTTTTCTCCCATATCTCTGTAATCCTTTCTTCCATGGCACCTGTTTGGGAGCCTGGCTCTTGTGAACTCCTCTATGGTGCCTACAGTACACAGTGCTGCTCAGAGGCTGCCTGTGGGGGCAGATGCTCCCTGGGAGGGGATGATGTTAATAGGAAGCCACAGGGACACTTTATCCACAGTCAGTTTCTTCCAATGGACTACATTCCACCCTGAGGACCTGTGCTGTCCCATTGGTTTCAGAGGGACCTCAGAGCATCTGTGGGTGGAATAAGGTTCACTCTTATCCCACTACTTGCTTACTTCTGGTGGCTATCACACCCCCATTAGCCAGCAGGTGGAAGCCTCCTCCAGGGCAACTTGCTGACTTTCTTAAAGCAATACACCCATCCCTCCCCACAGTGGAAACTCATTAATTCCACAAACCCTGAAACTCATCAATAATTCAGAGAGCCCAAGTGACATTAACAATCCCCTGTGGAAAGACTCACACCAGGCATTTGCTGGAGCCAAAATAATGTAGTTTTAAGGTTTAGAGAAGGGCTAAGCTTTTCAAAAGAAATGATGCCCTTTAAATGACAAGGGACCACTTCATCTCAATGTCCCCCTTGCAGCTGGCTAGCATCAGGTATGGCCAGGAGCCTTTCAGACTCTTGGAGAGTGCCAAGCAGCTGTGTAGCACACCTACCAAAGGCCCCTTTCTTATGCTTTTCTCTTTGGTCCTCTTCCACCGTTTCATCTCTGCATTCACGTCCCTGTACAGGATCAACATCTTTTCTTCCCTAGATGACAGCAATAGTCTAACTGACCTTCTTGTTCCCAATATTCTCCCTCAATTCTTTTAAAAAATATTATTTTTATTTTATGTGTATGCATGTATATTGCCTGCATGTATGTAAGTGCATCCGTGTCATGCAATGCCCATGGAGGTCAGAAGAGGACGTTGGTTCCCCTGGACCTGGAGTTACTGATGGTTGCTAGCCACCATGTGGTTGCTGGGAACCAAACCCGGGTCCTCTGCAAGAGCAGCTGGTGCTCTTAACTGCTGAGCCATCTCTCCAGCTCTCCCTCAATTCTTTTACAAAATACCAGTCTGATGGGATCCTTCCAAACCAGAAATGTATGCCTGATTAAAAAACAAAAACAAAAAAACAAATACCTTCAGTACCTTGCTTAGACCCTATCTCAAAGCCTATAATCTCCAAGGCCCTGCCTAATTTGGTGGGATTTCCTTCCTAAGTGGCTCCTGGACTTCTGTGATCCTAAAACAAAAACAAAAAACAAATATCTTCAGTAGCTGTCTTAGACCCTATCTCAAAGCCTGTAATCTCCAAGGCCCTGCCTAATTTGGTGGGATTTCCTAACTAAGTGGCCCCTGGACTTCTGCGATCCTAGCCCTCATCACACTGGTTGGAATCCTTTGCTTTTGTGTCTTCTCTGTGCATTCCCTGTGAGAGTGCAGAAGCTCTAAGAACAGAGACCATTTCTACTGTGGAATACCCACATTTCCTGGCACTCAAGGAGCTCAGCATGTTTGGTGAGTGAATGTTGCTTACTTAGTCCCTGCCAATGCAATCAGAGAACAAAAGTAGGCTTTTCTTTGAACTGTGAAATACCCACTCTACTCTGACAAGTCTTGAGCTGGCACATACAGGTCTCTGAACTTGTTTTGAGAATTAGTGCCCATTTCACTAGAGCATCGGCCAGATGGGGTTTGGTTTACACCTAGATTTTGCCAAGAAACATTTGTCTTTTAAAGTGAGTTATGATTCACTGACCTAAGCCAGCTAAAGGTCGACTGGCGGTATTTCTGAACTAAAGATCAGAGCAGGTGGTTTGAGAGAAGGTGTGGACTATTTCCTAGGGAGGAATAAATATTGAATGAATGAATATTAGAAATTATGGGACATTCTTGGTGACTTATACAACAGAAGGTAAAACGTGCAAACTTGGATTGGGCTCTGGCCCTGCTACTTTCTAGAAGTATAAGCAGGACAGCCTACTATACCCCAGCCTTGTGACATCCTTTCTCTTTCAATTGGGTAGTATTATACCCATTTCCTCTTTAAAAATATGAACAAGATTCGTGGGTGTAAAAGAACTTCACAAAATAGGGGAAACCCATTGAATAATAATTCCATTATGAAATTTAGTCAAAACTGAAGGCTTCTCTGATAGTGATGATGTGATAAATGCTTGTTCTAGAAGGACTCTGAGGTACTATTTTCTGCTGGACTAATTCTGGTCTCAGCTAAGGTCAGCATATTAAATGTGAGGAACCTTGCTTCCTACCCGTTTGTTATATTTGGCAAGACTGCCCCAGCTGAAAAGCATTTGGCCCATTCATTGGTCCCTGTTGTTTGATTGTGAAATGTCCCCATAGGCTCATGTGTTTGAACATTTGGCTCCCATCTGGTGGCGCTGTTTTGGAAGGTTGTGGAACCTTTCAGAGATGGTGCCTCACTAAGGAAGTTGGTCACTGGGGGTGGTCTTTGAGATTTTTGTAGACCAGTTCCACTTCCTGTCTCTCTTCCTGATTGTGAATGCCACGTGGCCAGCTGCCTTTTTTGCATCCCCTCAAACTATAAGCAGAAAAGAGTTCATCTTTACGTTGCTTGTTGTCAGGTATTTGGTTATAGCAACACGAGAAACAATAATATCATCCTTACAACCTTTTCCGTACTTTTTTAAACAGCAGCTGCTCTCTCTTATTAAAAGACAATTTACCCCTTTCCATTACAATTTCAGATATTAATCTGACTAATGAAGTCCTTCAAGGTAAGGGCAAGAGTAAGAATACAGTGATAACACAGCACAAAAATGTACTGAGTGACATTCCCACCCAGGTACTAGACGCTTGGCATTCAATCCTTCATGTCATCCTCATGCTGATTACAGAGTACATGTCCCTAACAACTGAGGACACGTACTGTGCCAGGTGCTGCATTGGGACCTGAGGGATTAAAAGCTGACTATGACTTGGAAACCTGTGGGTATTTTAAAAGTATCATTCTGAGATTTATTCTTAGAGCTATGAGACCTCTGTAGAAAATTAGACATCACCTAAGTCACGCAAACATTTAAAATGCTATGAATTACTTTGCCTTTAGGGATTACTCTTCAAAGACAAAACTTACCAAAGCCAGGCCTTCTCTGAAAACGAAAAGAGACAGCAAGCAAATAGACCACCTAGTCCCCGAGGCTGCAGTCTACTTCCCCTTGTCTCCAGAGCCTGGCACGTGTACCTAGCACACAGTGGGTGCTCCACATGTGGCTGACGGAGGAGGGAACACAACAGTAATGGTATGTAGTCCTCAGCATTGCTCAGCTTGTTCTTGGGTCTCTTTCTCTTTCAGGCCACCCAGCCTGGTTCCCAGCATCTGAATTCTGATGGGCTAGGGACCATAAGGAACAGGCAGGGTGACATGAGATGGGGTGGAGACTATGAAGGGTGTTGGGGGAGGAGATGGAAGGACAACAGCACAATGGCAATGCTACAGACAGAGCTGAGTGACTTGGGGCAGGGAATGACATTCCAGGTGTACCAACCATCTTGTGACCCCAAACCCTCCTTCAGGCAATAGATGCTGTGACAAAGCCAAGGGAGTGGCAGCATCTAGACACCATCATGCTTATGGGGTGTATATATACTTTTATATATGCGTATTTCTTCATATATCTTCACAGACGAACACAGACACAAAGACAACAGGAAAATAGAGGAAGGAAGACCATACCTTTAACTACCCTATCCAGATAGTGAGCTTGGGAGATAAAAGACAGGACATTTAAGGGAGAACCAAGGAAGTTCAGTACTGCCTGCCATATAACCGTGCCAAGTGTTAAGGAGACACTGGGGGAGGGTGGGGAGTGGGATGGTGCCCAATGTTTGGGATAGGCCTTTGCCATGGGTGGGAAAAATAAAACCAAAGACAAACTGATACGGGAGGGAAGGAAGGAGAGCAAGCACATCCCCTACGAAAGGCCAAAAGGAATGTCAATCATTCTGGGGTCCAGGCATTTGGACATATGATCATATAAACAGAAGACATATGGAGGACAATAGGAGACGGAAGGATGGGAAGCTGCAAAAGTGGCCACACTCCTGTTCCATCAGGTTCATTCAAGTTCATGGGAAACTATAACTGGTTCCTGTGCCTGTCCAGAGCAATGGCCAACCTCTCTTGAAGGGAAGCAGTCGTCCTGACAAATCATCTGGGAGACACATTCCTGAGAAGCTGGAGATGAGAAAGGTGCAAATTTCATATCCTCTCTGATATACAGTTGGCTCTTAGGTTGAGTCTTTGGCTGAATACATGACTAGCTTGTATGTCTGGCATTCTTGAATTATCTAGGAACATATATGTCCACATAGACTCCAATGCAGAGTGCTGGGTGCACAAGTAAGATATACCCCTGGTTTGTGCATCTTACGTAGAATATGAGGTGTGGGTTGGTGGATGCCACTGTGAAAAGCAAGAAAAATAAAAGAAAACCTGGCCACTTCTTGGTGTTTATGAACTCAAAAGATAGAATGGTGCACGCTTGGTCTTTCAGCAGAGGGCCTGGGTTATTTCAATTATTGGATGATCTAAGGTCTCGCCTACTTGTGAGGATGAGTGTCTGATATATAAACCCAGTGTGTACATATGACATGTATGTCTGGGTTCCCAGAGCAGGGCTGGCATGACCAGTCTCAGCTTATACCAGTAATCTTTTTGCCCTCCTCATCCAGGTTACAGTAGTCACAGCCTTTGAAGGGCTTCCCTTTCCCAGTTTCCCTATGCCTCTTTTTCTCATGTTCCATAAAGGCCATGCTGAGGGCAGTCTTCTGAAGCACCCAGTGCCTTTGATCAGGCTGTATCCCATCCTCAGCTCGATTTTACACATAAATCAAAAGTTCCCATGACAGGACTGAACTATGATGGAGTGGCCTTATCTGGAAGCCCTACAATTGTATAGGCTATAAGAACATTCTTCTCTTCATAAAACAATAGACAGAAACCATTTTTACC